TTTTTTGAAAATCTCAGTTTGAAAGAGGTTGTTTCACGTAAGGTTGAGGTTATGATAAAAATTACTATCTCAAACAATGTTAATGTAGCGAGAAAAGTAGCTAAAATTCCGCTACAACTACTTTAAAAATGTAGCTAGCTACAGCTAAAGCTACAAAATCTTAAAAGTAGCGTAGCTACAGCTAACGCTACAAAAAAAGTAGCGCGCTACTGTAGCGTCGCTACTTGTAGCGCGCTACTTCCCAACACTGTCAGAAAGCCCTATCGTGCTATCGTGCGGCCTTCGCGGGCGCGTCCAATGGAGCGAGGGGTGTACCACCCCAGTCTCGCAACAGCTGATCATTCAGCTCCACCGCTCCATAGTGGACTACCGTCGCTGTCGCTAGCCATCGTCCTGGAGCTGATGGTAGTGTGCATAGGTAGCAAGCCCTCGGCCTAGTTAGTCATACTTTGAAGACTAGTCAGTCATCAAAGAAATTTTGATTTGATTTGAACTTGGTTTCAGTTTTGAGCGAATCGTTACCGAATTATAACCATTATACGTGTAGTGGTACATTCATAGTTGATCTTATTCTACTTTCTTATACATACTCGATTATTATCTTACAAATATAATAAATGTGAAAGTTTGTGTGTTTATTGTTTGTTTGAAATTCATCACGCATTACCTACTGGTCGGATTGGGCTCAAATTTGGTATGATGAGCTCCATATGGTGATAGACCATTTTTGCTATGGTAGATGTGTTAACTATAGCATGTCGTAAATTAAAAGAACCAATTTTAGCGAATTTCCCATATAGGGAATAAGCTATTACCGTAGTACTCATGGTAAGACCTGGACCCGGGACCGATTTTTTTTTTCGTTTTGAGGTCCCTAGAGGCCAAAAACACCATCCGTTCAAATTCATATATATATATATATATATTTATATATATATATATATATATATATTTATATATGTGTCCGTTAGCGCGATAACTCGAGCAAAAACGATCCGATTTTGATGAAATTCGGTACAAACGTGTAAACCTACGTTTATTCGAACGAGTTCGCGAACCAGCATGATCGGACCGTGGGATCGGGGGTTTATGGGGGGTTTTATGGGGTAAAAATGGGTTTTTCCCATTTTTGACTCAAAATACATAAAATTTTGCAATTTCTTTCTAAACTATTTTGTAGAGCTTAAAAAAACAAATAATTTAGTATATTGAAGCGTTATAATGCACCTAATCGTTACGGAGAAAATTCCAAAAAATTGTAAATTTAAAATTCCCATGTTATTCTTATGGAGAATAAGTAAACTGTTGTAGTTTGCTTGTTTATTAACATATTTTGCCCAAATTTGGAAAATGTTTTTATTTCTTACTAACTATTAACATTTTACATAAAAAAACACTTTTACCCTCCCTGTTGCAGCAAACCTAAGTATGTGTTAAACTGATTCTATTTAAATAAGGAATGTGATATTTTTAAGGAGACGTTTTAGTGTAAATCCAATCAGGCAAATGGAAATTCGCTTAGTCTGCAGGTTTGCTGCGGCGGGGGTATTTCTCAAACCGAAAGCACGAGTATAACTGCAACAAGCATTTTAGCGAATTTCCCATATAGGGAATAAGCTATTACCGTAGGTCTCATGGTAAGACCTAGACCCGGGACCGATTTACTTTTTCGTTTTGAGGTCCCCAGAGGCCAAAAACACCATCCGTTCAAATTCATATATATATATATATATTTATATATGTGTCCGTTAGCGCGATAACTCGAGCAAAATTGATCCGATTTTGATGAAATTTGGTACAAACGTGTAAACCTACATTTATTCGAACGAGTTCGCGAACCAGCATAATCGGACCATGGGATCAGGGGTTTATGGGAGGTTTTATGGGGTAAAAATGGGTTTTACTCATTTTTGACCCTAAAAACTTTAAATTTCTAAATTTCGCTCTAGACCATTTTGAAGAGCTTAAAAAAAACAAATAATTTAGTATATTGAAGTGTTTTTGAATGTTCATTGACTACGGAGAAAATTAAAAAAATTGTAAATTTAAAATTCCCATGTTATTCTTATGGAGAATAAATAAACTGTTCTAGTTTGCTTGTTTATGGATATATTTTAATCAAATTTGGCAATTTGGTTTATTTCATACTAAGCTATCAATATTTCAATTGAAAAAACACACCTCAACATCTTCCCCGTAGCAGCAAACCTAACTACTCACTAAAATTAATGTTATTTAAAAATGGAAATAAATCTGAAAATTTATAGGGAATATTTTAGTACAAATCAAGCCGGGTAAATGGAAATTCGCTTAGTATGCAGGTTTGCTGCGGCAGGGGTATTATACTTGTACGCCAACCCCGTACAAAGGACGGGCATTCTGCTAGTATCTATATAAAAAATATTCGTTCAATAAACTGAAATGTTTATTTAACAACAGTTTAGCCAATTTCAGATAATTCAGTTTTGTCTCCGAGCTGTAACGTATTTGGGATTGACAAGTAACTATAGCATGTTGGTTGTACAAAATAACAAGGAAAAGAAAACCAATTACTGTAACATGTGTTTATAGGTAACAAGCCATCCACAGTATACAAGCAAGTTACAGTAAACAGTACAAAGTGGGAAACATCAGTTGTTACTATTGGGCAATTATTACACTGGAGATTACTCGATATAGGTGTCAATAGCTCCAATCTATGGTTAGGTCACCAGGTACTTGGTTGGTGAATAAAATAGTTGTGTACAACTCTCTCAGCTGAGATTCGGAAGAGGGGAAGCAAGACGGCTGTGGAGGGGCTAGACGCGTGTAGTTCCACTCGTGGCCGCAAGGTTCGGTACATTACGGATTCAAATTTGATAGTTGCAGAGGTTCACGGTAACTAACATTGTAAGCTAACCATACATGCTAGTGAAAAACAATAAACGGGGTTTTAAAGAACAAAGAACAATCTAAGGGAACCTAGTTTCACATTTTTAAAGTAACGATTCTATAATAATTTACAGCAGTTTAAAATTGCCATTTTTCGTCTACATTCAATAGAAGATTTTCGGGCTTTATGGTACAATATTAAACATATTGCAGCCACAATAATTTAGATAATTTAATCATCTTCAAAATGACGCCCTAACTTTGAATCTACGTTAAATTTAGCCTTAAGAATTACAGTTGCCCCAGACCCTTGCGTTTGCACGAAACGTCAGAGGTAGGGCGGACCCTTAAGGTATCTGCAATCCTAAAATTCGATGGGAAGAGAGGGAAAAAGGTCCGCGACGTAGGAAGTGTTGAAGGAAGTAGTCAAGGTGAGTAGCCCGGAGTGTGGAAACTGTTTATGATGATTATATTAAGGTATCTGCAATCCTAAAATGCTATGAGAAGGGATGGAAACAGGTCCACGACACAGGAAATGGTGAAAGAATTAGTAAAGGCCAGCAGTGCGGAGTGTGGGGAATGGATTTATGTATCTGCAATACTAAGACTGCTTTCAGAGTAAACTAATGATTTTCCCTGAGCAAAGCTCGGCCCCCAGGTACTTAATATTAAATAGGCTAGTATAGTACATGGTAGTAAAATGTAAATAGTATTTCATATGTAATTAATTGTTAATTAACTGTATTTGTTCATGTAAATGTTTGTTTCTTTACAAAATGTAAATCTTCTGTATAAACAAGTCTCAAAAATTAATAAAAGTAGTATTTTTTATGGTTAAATTTTCCAAAATTCTAATAAATATTTCTTAGGTAGGTATCGATAATTCTAAATAGGCCTAAACTGATTTTATTCATTTAAATGTTCGTTTTACTTTTTTTACCTTAATATACATTTAAAACAATGAAAAAAGGTAAAAATGCACAAACGGTCAAAATGACTGGATATGTTCTTTCACGTTATAAAAAATATGTGTTCTTATAAGTGTTAGGATTCGGGCCTGCGAGATTCAGCTTTATGTCAGAGTTAAAGAGCTAAATTTAAAAATATAAATTTATTTCAAAAACACTAACTATTTTGTAGGATAATCAATGCCTAAACTGATTAACCTAAACAACCAATAGCTTAAAAGTACATGATAAGGCTTCTTAGGTTCACTTTTCTTAGCCTATTGGTCCGGATGATCGGAAGAGAGGCAAGGCCATGGACTAAATTTAGCATTATTTTTGGGAATCCATTATCCGGTACTGTAATCTGTTTCTGAAGCCTTCCTGGCTCCATAAATATTGGATAATTGAGAGTTAACTGTATCATCAAGATCCTATTCCTTTCTCACAGCATCTATTGCACCGCTTCATTTGAACTGACCATAACATTTTTGCTGCTTGAAGTTCAGGTAGTAATCTTAAAAAAATCTTACATTATAAAAACCTATTTTAGGGTTAATAGTTTTTGTGAACAATTAAAATTTGTGTGTACTTCTAACTTAATTAATGGGTTATCTATATTTATAAAAGAGGAAGTTTGTATATATATATATTTGAACCTTATGGACTCCGAAACCGCACGACAGATTGTAATGAAACTTCTTTCAGGTATTATTGCGCATTATGGCGCCCCAGTGGCTCTGGAGTTTCCCATGTTAAACTTATCAGTACTTATATTTAAATGGAATTAAAGAATCTTAACAGCTGGTTCAACTAAACAATTGGATTCTGTTATGTTCAATAGCATTAAAAAAGTTAATAGGTTTACCAACAGGGTGCAGCACTATTATTTTTTTAAATTTATGACAACAGCTAATTTGCAACCAAAAGGTGAGTGAGCGTAGCGAACGAGCTCCAACCTAAAGGTGAGTAAGCGTAGCAAACGAACTTCAACCAGGACTTGATTGAGCCTTGCGAAAGAGCTCATCTTGAAAATGAACGAGCATTGACATAAAACCACATTAGGACAGGACAGGACGACGTCTGTCGGGCCAGCTAGTAAACTCTAAAACTTAGGTGTGCTCAGCTAGTTTATCATTTTTAGGATAAAATTGATTGTTGCTCAAGAGAAATTGTTTTCCTTAGAAAAACCCATTCAATATGAGACAAGTGATCCTTAACAACCTGTCTGCTGGTGGACGGCCTACGGGACAGTTGCGCCATTCACCGTGGTTACGCACCCGGGGACGACCTGTCACCAATGCAGCCAAGTCTCTAGACATCTTGCGCCAGAACTTGCAGACATCCATCAACAAAGAAATCGATGGTGTCCTCAAGAAGTACCTTGAGGTTTGTTGTAATAATTTTGTAACTCATTCAAAACTATGCTTTTAACATATGGCAGGCTATATTTGGTGACTTGGCTTAGGCCTATGTGTAGTCTAGTGTATGCATTTAACCAACCAAACCTGTTTTTGTTGTTAGGCTACCATATCGATGATAATGATTTTGTTGGAATCTTTTTTTTTTATACATTAAAATCTGTTGTTTTAGTAGCCCCTGAACGGTTGTGTAACACTGTCAGACCTAGGTCTTAGCATGAATCTAGTTGTTCATAACTAAATTCACTAAAAATTACTATACAGAATTTAGACAGTCATAGCAATAGGTTTTCCATTTTCATTCAGAATTCTGACAGGTCCCATATTGGCATTGTCAATTCTACTCATGCACTCAAACTCATAGAGGCTACATGTTAATAACTTTGTCTCTTTAATTAATGATTAGTTAAATGCTATTCCGATGACATGTTTTTACAGAAGTTTTTCCGGCCAGCCATTGACAATGTCCGGTCAAACCTGGGAGGCAGCAGTGTTAATGAGGAGCATGTACGCGAGGTTAGTAGGCTACTATTACTATCAAGTGCATTTCATCTCTGAGATATAAGACTCAAAACAAAACAGTACAACCTGCATTGCTGGAAAAATTACACTTTTAAAAGTTTTGGTAAACTTGTGTGATTTTTCCATAAAAACCCATACAAAATAGAAAAATTTGATTTGTACAAAAACAGCCAAAACGATTTTTATTAAAATTTAGTATGCTATGGTCCTTAAGCACCCGCAGGGCAGAGTCCTAGGTCAATATTGAAGTGGGAATAGTTCTATATGTATACTCGGAGCTGAGGCTTTATTTTTGCCCAATTTGACCCCAGTCGGCTCAGTAGTTTTTAATAAACACACAAACAACTACTTCTAGCAATGTTTTGAGATATTTTGATGTAGAACACTTGCTTAAAAGCAACGCTTTTCATAATTAATTAATTATGTTAAATGTACAAAATTTAAGAAAACAAACCTCATAACAAATATTTGTGCAATTCTCTCAAAGCAGGCTAGTCTTCAAAAAGTTACATCTGCTAATCGTTTGGATCCATGCAGGATTCTTTCTGCCTGAACTGCAAAATCTGGCCAAGGTTGAGAAAATGTCGATTGGTTTAGGTTCAAGGTCGGGTTCAAGCAGAACCAGAACTGTGGATTCACCAGATGACAGACATTAGCTAGCAAACATAGGAAAAAATACAGGATATGTGTGTAATGTCCACATCTTAACTAATGAAACTTAGATGTTGATAGTTCTGAGCGAAACTGATAAGTTACATTTTTGAAATAGTTGTATTTTGTATTATATCACTGTATAAACATATTATTTATTTATTGCTTTATCAAAAACCATGAAACTTGATCCCTCCGCTCAACTGGCTTTCACTGCTATGAAAGCAATCCTAGTAGTAAGCTACTTTTTTGTGTATATGGTGATTGAATGTCACCAATGGGGGCGGCCCATAGAGAGTGGGCTAAGTTTAAAATCTTAAAGGTAAGCATAGGTTGATATGTACATAAAATTAAAGGCCTTTTTAAACTAAAAAAAATTCCACAAATAGGACCTCAATGGGCAACCAAGTCAAAAATGGTTAGCTGTTCAAAGATTTCTTAAATCTGCCATTTTGAATCCTTAAACGGCTGCCATTTTTTACTCAGTTTTTCTTTTGAGCTCAAATTTGCGGCATTGTATTCTATTATATCAAATTATGCTTATGTTTATGATTTTGTAACGAGCTATTTTCCCTAGGGGGGTATATTTTCGTTATTTGGGCCGCGCGTCTGTTGAGGTAAGCAAGCGGCGGCGGCGAACCTGGCTAGCGCTCTTTGACCCGGCTTATCAGTTCGGATAAGCTTGGGTATCCTGGAACTACCGGACAGCCGAGGACAGACATTCTAGTCGTGGATCCCGTGCAGTGAACAGCTAGTTAGCGTGTGTCTAGTGAGACGTCCAGTGGTGTACGTGACAGTGGTGTCGGAGTATGCTGGTGGTGTGATCGCGCCGAGTGTTGGTGTAAGTTGGGTACTGACCCACTTGTGGTGAGTGGACGACTTGATATTATTAGTTTGATAATATTAATATCTGGTTTTATTGCGAGGGTTAGAGTTGTAACCGTGCTGGTCAAAGCCTGACGGTAGTTAGGATTTATATTAGTCAGGAATAATATTAAAGTGTATTCCTGACGGTTCTGGGCAGGTGCCAGAGCGCAAATAATATAATTTAATTGACTGTAGTAGATATTATTTTGCGTTGTACCTAGAGTTAGTTATATTACTAATAACTCTGAGGCCCGACAAACCTAGGCTGCACGATTTAGCGTGCGTAGTTGGAAGCACGAGGCCAGTAGGCTAGTAGCTAGTTTTATTAACCTATTAACAGAAGCCCGGCTAAGCAATATAACGTTGATATAGCAGTAGTGGTAGTAGCAGTAGGGTTGGTATTGATTAATCATTTAATTATTTTAATTTAACCTGAACAGCTTGCTTAGTAATCCAACACGTTAGCTTGGTAGCTTGGATAGCGGAGTACCGGCTATCAGATAATATATTTATCTAGTGTTTGGAACGTATTTAATATTTATTTATCTGCTACTAAGTAGCTCAATATTTTAATAGTGCAATTGCCATTTAGTTTTGCTTGGTATTTATTGAGACCAGCTACTAGTGGTGTAGTCACTCTACCTATAGTGTACTTGTATATTATTATGTGGTACGATTATTGAGTGAACTGTTTGATTCTTAGCTTGGGCATTAGAGTTGTGTATTGGATTATAGTGGCCTAGTAGACCCCGCCTGGTGATAACACGCGTTGTGGTTTTTATTGGCAAGTCGTCGTGTAACTCACCGTGTTTTAGGCACTCTGGGCTTAACTATTGGATAGTTAGGACGAAGCCCGAGTTGCGTAGTCAGCAACGACCCCCTAGGAGAGTGGAGAATCGGCGTAGGCCTGGTAGTGATTATTGCACGTTTGTTTTGGTGACTTGTTTTTGACTTGTTCACAGTGCCCGTGTATGAGCCAGTCCTATACCGGTTAGACCCGGCTATTGGCCTAGTGGTTTCCCTGACCTTATCGCAGACCCTGGAACTTTACCCAGCCATTGTAGGCTGAGCTATCCTTGGCAAACGGTTGCGACTTACTTTTAATATTATTTTTCCAGTGCATTGTAGGCAGCGTCGCAATTTTCTTCCGTCTTCTAGGGGCTAGCAGCCTGAGAAGGTAGCATGTAGGAGCATTGCAAATTCTATGAATCTTTGAATAGCTGTCATTTTTGACTCGATTGTCCATTTGAGATCAGGTTTGCGGCATAGTTTTTAGTTCAAAAATACCTTCCAATTTGATGTACACATCAATTTATGCTTACCTTTTAAGATTTTCATCTTACTCCCTATGGGTCGTCCCCTATTGGGGACATACAATCACCATATACACAAAAAATTATCTTACTGTTACCAGTAATGATATGCCAAATTTGGTTGAGATATATCTTTTAGCGAATTTCCCATATAGGGAATAAGCTATTACCGTAGTACTCATGGTAAGACCTGGACACGGGACCGATTTTTATTTTAGTTTTGAGGTCCCTAGAGGCCAAAAACACCATCCGTTCAAGTTCATATATATATATATATATATATATATTTATATAGCCTATCTAAATATATAAAAGGCAAAGCCCTCACTGACTGACTCACTCACTCACTCATCACTAATTCTCCCACTTCCCATTTACCTAGGATGCTGAAATTCGGTACACTGATTCTTTGGGCATTAAATAGGAAAACTAAGTGGTTTTTATTCTGATCGGGCTTTCTGGCTTCTCCCCAGTGGCTCTGGGGTTTCCCATGTTAACCTTATGATTTTTCATATTTAAAAGGAATTAATGAATCTTAAAAGCTGTTTCAATTAAACAAGTTGGTTCTGTTCTATGATGTTCAATAGCATTAAAGTTACAAGGATTACCAACAGGGTGCAGCACCATTATTATTTTTAGCGAATTTCCCATATAGGGAATAAGCTATTACCGTAGTACTCATGGTAAGACCTGGACCCGGGACCGATTTACTTTTTCGTTTTGAGGTCCCTAGAGACCAAAAACACCATCCGTTCAAATTCATATATATATGATATATATATATATATACATACATATATATAGCGAACGAACTTCAACCAGGACGTGATTGAGCCATGCAAACGAGCTCACTTATGAAGGTAAACGGGGCAAAGCCCGCGGGTACAGCTAGTATATATATATTTATATGTGTCCGTTAGCGTGATAACTCGAGCAAAAATGATCCGATTTTGATGAAATTTGGTACAAACGTATAAACCTACGTTAATTCGAACGAGTTCGCGAACCAGCATGATCGGACCATGGGAACGGGGTTTTATGTGGTAAAAATGGGTTTTTCCCATTTTTGACCCAAAAAACATAAAATTTTGCAATTTCTTTCTAAACTATTTTGTAGAGCTTAAAAAAACAAATAATTTAGTATATTGAAGCGTTGTAATTCGCCTAATGGTTATGGAGAGAACTCCAAAAAATTGTAAATTTAAAATTCCCATGTTATGCTTATGGAGAATAAGTAAACTGTTGTAGTTTGCTTGTTCATTAACATATTTTGCCCAAATTTGGAAAATATTTTTATTTCTTACTAACTATTAACATTTTACATAAAAAACATTTTTACCTTCCCTGTTGCAGCAAACCTAAGTATGTGTTAAACTGATTATATTTAAATAGGGAATAAATGTGATATTTTTAAGGAGACATTTTAGTGTAAATCCAACCAGGCAAATGGAAATTCGCTTAGTCTGCAGGTTTGCTGCGGCGGGGATATTTTAATTTATGAAAACATCTAATTTGCAACCAAAAGGTGAATGAGTGTAGCGAACGAACTTCAACCTGAAGGCAAATGAGTGCAGCAAACGAGCTCCAACCTAAAGGTGAGTGAGCGTAGCGAACGAACTTCAACCGGGACGTGATTGAGCCATGCGAACGAGCTCACTTATGAAGGTAAACGGGGCAAAGCCCGCGGGTACAGCTAGTATATATATATTTATATGTGTCCGTTAGCGCGAAAACTCGAGCAAAAATGATCCGATTTTGATGAAATTTGGTACAAACGTATAAACCTACGTTAATTCGAACGAGTTCGCGAACCAGCATGATCGGACCATGGGAACGGGGTTTTATGGGGTAAAAATGGGTTTTTCCCATTTTTGACCCAAAAAACATAAAATTTTGCAATTTCTTTCTAAACTATTTTGTAGAGCTTAAAAAAACAAATAATTTAGTATATTAAAGCGTTGTAATTCGCCTAATGGTTATGGAGAAAATTCCAAAAAATTGTAAATTTAAAATTCCCATGTTATGCTTATGGAGAATAAGTAAACTGTTGTAGTTTGCTTGTTCATTAACATATTTTGCCCAAATTTGGAAAATATTTTTATTTCTTACTAACTATTAACATTTTACATAAAAAACATTTTTACCTTCCCTGTTGCAGCAAAC